ACACACACACACACACACACACACACACACACACACACACACACACACACACACACACACACACACACACACACACACACACACACACACACACACACACACACACACACACACACACACATATATATATATATATATATTTATGTATATATATGTGCGGTATGTATGTATGTATGGAGGTATGTATGTATGTATGCATGCATGTATGTATGTATGTATGTATGCATGTATGTATGTATGTATGCCAAGTTCATCGAATGGTTGAATATTCAATTGCTTCTCCAAAGAACTGTACATAATAGTTTCCATGAATTTTTCCGTTTCAAGTCAATCTTTCACCTATATCATATTAGGCAGTCAGTTTAGTCACTCAATAGCCTCTGCTCATTTTCTCCAAAGACGTCGGTCGCTCACAATGATTCTTCGTTTCCATTCAATGTCGTAGGTGATCGATCATTTTCTACCCATGGTGGTGGAGCGCGAGGAGGAGGGAAGTATAGAGTGCCCTGTGCTGGTATATGAAGATCTGTCGTTCGTCTACATCAAGCACAAGAATGTATACAGTAAGTTACACAGCCGCCTGCTATGTTGTGTGAACAATCAATCAGTCGTTGTCATCTTCCAATTTTGTCTCGCGGTCAGAATTTATGGATGTCTCACCTGGTCACACATTGAATTCTATTTGTGACTCCGACACGTTCGTAGAATATATAGTCATCACAGAAACTCGCCATATATAGCACTGAACACTGCTCCTTAAGACAAGATCCGTCTGCATACGCTCTTGTTTGTTATGATTGGAGACATTCCTGTGCTATGTAAGCAATTAGGGTAAATTGATGAACATCTTTTGACTACTCTTGTGGTACCATACAGTGTACACAGGTGGAGAGATCCAAATGGCAGAAGTGTTGGCATTCTTCTAGCTGTACAGTTTACAAAGCACTGTCTGGAGACTGTAGTTTCTGATAAGTGTACCATTGTCTGTACGTGATGTGCAATGCTATTACATACCATCCCAAGTGACTGAAGTTGAAGTTGTGATCTTTATGCTCAGATGTATCTCGTATCGAGTTAGATATCTCAGCTGCGCCGATGTAAGATATTTAAACTAAGTATACACGCGTTAGAATTCGTGTTCTAACACTCTCGACATACCACACATTACGCAGTTGTTGGCACCACTCGTAAGAATGCCAACGTTGCCTTGGTGACTGTGTTCATGCATAAGCTGGTCGAGGTGTTCCGTGAGTACTTCAAAGAGCTTGAGGAGGAGAGTATCCGTGATAACTTTGTCATCATATACGAGCTTTTCGACGAGATTATGGATTTCGGCTACCCACAGGTAATTGCCAAAAATTTTGAGCAGAAGAATAGATCTATATAAGTGTGTATTCTGCCTATCATGACTGGGCTGTACGATGTGTCGGCCAAGTTAGTGTTTAAGAAGCTACATGTCGTACACTCGGAATAGAGGGGGGGGGTGGGGGGGGTTTGCGTCATTTCGTAATCCTGCTAGCCAACAAGATCTTGGGAGCTTAACACTTCTGCACGTCCACGACACATAGCTAAACAGCATTATGTTTTTTCGACCCACAAAACAGACCACAGAAACAAAGATTCTGCAAGAATACATCACGCAAGAATCACACAAGCTCCAAGACGCGACAGGTGCTGCCAATCCCCCGATGGCAGTCACCAATGCGGTGTCTTGGCGATCTGAGGGCATCAAATACCGGAAAAACGAAGTGTTCTTAGATGTTGTGGAGAGTGTGAATCTGCTCACGAATGCGAGAGGACAGGTGTGTGCTACTGGTAGTACCGTATCGCATTGCAATCTGAGATGTTGTTTCGAAAACAAGTAGTCGTCATTTCTGTGTATCATATACAGGTGTTCGAGATGGTGCTCTAGCATGAGATACTTGTGAGCTCATTTGGTATGTGAGACATATCTCGTTATACATGCGATTATGCACGCATACGTACATAATGCCCCAATGCTTGTATAATCTGCATAAAAATCAAGTACTTGCTTCTACATGTATATGTAAAAAAATCGTATAGTCACTGCTAGGGACGCCTAGTCTAAGCGTGTATTTAGGTTTTCTTGGAGCGATCATCCGCCACAGGTATGTGTACACGTTTATATATTTTCAAATTAGGAAAGAAATGAAATCGTTGGGTTGTAGTGTCTTTCCTGCTCATATGTTCTGCTTGTAAAACTTTTCCACGTCCTTACCGCATATATAAATATTGCGTACATTTTTATGTTTACGTTTATCTTTTTATAACCAATTTTTTGTGTGTTCAAATTTATAGATTTGTCTAAAAGCCAAAACGCATACTACATTTTAAATGAACATATGCTGCCATGGACATTGTCTACTTTATGCATCGCTGCTAATACACCGACTCAGGGACAATACACACAAACAGATACATAAATATATATACTTGACCTTTCGGTAGATATGTGCTATTTAGATAGTACACTCAGCTTAGGTACAAATTCATCGCTCATTATTTTTCATTCTAGCATTCTAGGTGATCATGTGTTTATAACAATGTATGATACTTTTCTTTTGCTGGGTTTGTTATATATACGTCTTGAGATTTATGTATTGCTATGGGTGTACTAACGTATCAACTAGAGCGTTCGTAAGCAATGTTGTTGTCGTTTGTCGCTTTGTACAGGTGTTTAAAGTTGAATCCTTACACACATACTATTGCTATGCAATTCCTACTCAGGTTCTTAGATGCGAGGTTGTCGGTGCCGTGAAGATGCGTGTGTATCTATCAGGCATGCCTGAACTCCGTCTTGGTCTAAATGATAAAGTATTATTCGAAAGCACAGGCAGGGGTATGTCATATACGTCATTCCCAGCTGATTCAGCTGATTTATCTACCATGGTAGCCATCTAAATCTTATTACACCCACAATTATTCCACATTCCACAAGTGTACAAGTGTAGTGTACTATTTACATATATTTACTCGAATGGTTTTATTTCATGATAGCATTCACGAAGTTCATAGGGCCATTACAGTATGCTCTCTTTTAGTACAGAAATCTCTAGTATACCTGTACATTCAGGAGCTGCTCGTGACAAAACCTTATCCTGGCTTGTTCTTAGATCCTCTACAACTGGTTTGATAGCTGAGCGCTCGTTGCGTTCCTCATACTGAGATTAAGTCTTAAGCTGTTTCGTTGGTCTTCATTTATTCTTTTGATGCGAATTTGCTATTTCTGGTATGTTGATACGTAATCAAACTATAGCTTCCAAAGGCAAAGCCGTGGAGCTAGAAGACGTCAAATTTCACCAATGCGTACGGTTGTCGCGTTTCGAAAACGACAGGACGATATCTTTCATTCCTCCAGATGGAGAATTCGAACTTATGTCGTATCGTCTGAGTAATCAGGTATGTTTGTACCAAATATTTTTTTCTGATCAGAAACGAGAACCTCAGATGGACGATTCGTACCATATAATGAAGCATATTCAGCATGCAGTATACAGTTCGATTGCCTTACTGAGGGTGTCTACGATTGTTAAATGTGTGGTTGTTTCTTAGTAGTTGCTGTAGTTCGGCATAGCGGTTATTTTCTTAATCAACTTTCCGCTATAAAGTCATTAGCTAATGTGAATATTTCTATGCACATTCATACTCATGATTTCGTGTACTTGTATTAAAATGCTGCACTTGTACCTCTGATGTTTGTTTGTATGCAGATGAAGCCGCTGATCTGGGTAGAGTGCGTGGTTGAAAGGCACTCGCACAGTCGAGTAGAATATATGATCAAAGCGAAAAGTCAGTTCAAGCGCAGAAGTACAGCTAATAATGTAGAAATCATGATTCCCGTTCCATCAGATGCCGATACACCCAAGTTCAAGGTAAGCAAAGCTCAATTCATCTTTCTTTGTACTTCTAAATGTTATAACCAGGATTCATGCGGGTACAAATTTTGGTGTGTATATATGTCTGATATTTAATATATCACGCGCGACATGTGTACGAAATATAAATATTCTTTTGTACGTTAAATAATGTCATAAATTGTACTCACAAACATACATAATTACTCATACACTTCAGCTGATTTATAGTAACGGTATTTAGGCGTCTGCATTCAAAAAGCGTGTTTAGTGGTTATGTGATACAATTACACACACACACACACACACACACACACACACACACACACACACACACACACACACAC